TATTGGTGCAGTTTGTTGTTGTTGTAAACAAACGGCTGCCAATGTAAATGGTTTTAATGTGAGAGCGTCTGATGCGCTGGATCAACATCAGCTCCACAGCTGACCTCAGTAAGTTTTGGTGATGTCTGTGATCTGATTACAATTCAATGATAACGTTGTTTCTTCCCGTCGCTTACCTCCATTTTCTCAGGTCTGTAATGTCTGTTGTTTACGTTCGTAATGGCAGTTATTTATTTCCTTAATTTTATAATTACAAATATTTCAGTAGCATTTGGAATAACCGTTTTTTTTAAGCTCCGAATGAACGTGTCAAAGTCGACATTATACTCAGTATAGTTACAAATAAAACAAACCAGCCTTTAGAATGTGATCATTAAAATGACATTAAGAAATCAGCTGTAACACGGCAACACGGATACAATTAGTTTGTCACCTCCTCCACCGGTACCCCCCCCCCCTGAGAGATGGTAGCCTGTAATTGGCACAAATGAAGTCACATTTTCACCATGGAGGTTCCCAATTAAAGCAGGGATCAGATATGTCTGCTGCAGAGGTGGTGTCATGATGCAAAATGCTGTAATCGCACTGCCGTCATTTCACACAGCTGAACAACTGTTTGTTGTTTGTTGCTCATACTTCGTTGAGCGCGAGTCCGGGTCCTATTGTGAGCGCCTTTAAAGCTGGGCATCGAGTCTCGGAAGCCAGAGGTCTCGCCGCGGTGTGAGGTAATCATTGAGTAATTGGTATCGATCGACCGGCCCATCAGCCCCCCGCAAATATATTAAGGCAATTTTGGTAGCACATCAATTACACTGAGGACCTTTTTAACAAAGCAAATCCAGATTTATTTATTATTCATTGTGCTGCATGCTCAAGTTGATCCTCCGCCATGGTCGCAACTAATGTAACTCTAATGACTAATGCGGAGTTTCTTCTTTGAGGGCACGACAAATGTGCTGCTTCGGCAAAAAGCCACGCACTTCTGGGCCTCTGTGACCCTGCTGCTGACACTTTGCCTCCCTCGCTCGACTCAGCGCTGACAGCGGCCTACTGTACCGGACCATGACTCACAGCTCGTCAAAGTGCAGCAGAGCATCCCAAAAAAAAAACATATTCACTCTTGGCAAAAGTGTGTATTCCGTTGGTTTATTCTCCTCCCCGTTTGGTGACACGAGGTGCGGCGGGGGGGGCCCCAGCGATGACATGTGCACCTTCGTGGCGCTTTCCTGCACTGGAAAGTTAAGGCGCTTTGGTGCGCCACGCTCGCAGGAGTACATTATCCGCCCCGGGCGGCCGGCGGATATTGCAAAGCTTTATTTTTAGTGCTGTTTTGGAGCTCAGCGATGTGTATAAATCAACATTAGGCCTGTCGGGTTCCAGTAATGACAACGTTGACTAAGGCTGACCGGTCATCCGTTTGGTGCACGGGGCTCTTCTTTGTAAACTGCAGAGGATGGCAGAAAAAGCAAAAGAGCCCACGGAGAGTGAAGGCGAGAGAGGAACAAAGGCAGAGCGAGGAAGAAAATACGCCTGGCGAGTGAATGAAGGAATGGAGCGAGGGGAGAGGAAGACGTGCGGAGGGTGGGGGGGGGGGAGGGGGGGGGGAGAAAGGGTCGTCTCAGCATTTCTGCTTGTGCAGAATCGTTGCAGCGCAGTACACGTGCACCCGGAAAAAGACAGACGAACGAGCGCGCTCATTGAAATTCCGTCCGCCGCGCTTCACAGGCTCTTAATAGGCGGCCCCGGGGGTGGAGAGGTGGGCCTACAGTGGAGTAGTGCACACTGGGCTGTGGATGACTCACGCTGCTGTCCTCCACTGAATACACATCTCGGCATCATGACTCTGCTCTGCACACTTTACAAAGTTTGGGATTCAGGGGCCTCGGTGAGAGAGATGGAGGGAGAGGGAGAGAGAGGGTCACAAGCTGCTTCATGTCTCTGAAGGCCCGCGATGATGACCGACGTTTGATGGGGCGGCGCTCACTCAGCAGCTACCCCGTCTCCTTCCTACCACCCATCCATCATGGGGGACCGGGTGTAGCGGAGGAGGCGATGGATCCCCGGCGACGACTGGTGCCACCTTTACAATTTCTCTTTGCGCCAGAAATATTTTGCCATGCAGGCTTTGAAGATAACATTTCCAAACAACCCGCTGTCCAACACAGAAAACTCAGAGCATGTTATTAATAGAGTGAAAAGGCGTCTACCTGAAAATGCCTTTTCAGCTTTGTTGTGAAAAAAGTTGTCATGAGACGCGTCATTTCAATCCATAACCTCCACAATATTTCACACATCACGACACAATATGCATTCCCTGAATTCTGTGTGACTTTCATCGAGGACCACATGACCAATTTGTCTCCATTGTGTTTTTATTCTCAGCTCAATTGCAGAGAGAGAGAAACTTGTAATCATCGATTAGAATAAATCAAAAGCAAATGTTGCTTCCGTTGGCATCACCTGGACTTTTACAGGAAAGAAATACACCCTCATGTGGCATTAACTTTCATGGAAGGTCTAAAACTTGACGCGTACATCAAATATTGGTGGTTTGTAAAGTGTTGATCATAATCAAATAATCAATTAGTCAATTATGGAGAAACTACTTTAAAGATCAATTCATTTTTAAAGGCTAAATAGCATTTCATAGTACAAGGATCTCAAATGTGAGAATTATACTGCACATTACAGTAAAGTACACATTTTAAGGGTTGTTGTCCATTAGTCGAAGAAAATAAGACATTTGATGACGTCACCTTGTTACCGTTGAATCACAAATAGTCTTTAGTTGCAGCCGCAGAGAGCAGAAGTGTTCTACTTAAAAAAAAGAAAAAATACATCCTAGTTTCATCATCCTACAAGCTTCAGTCTTTTGCTCTTGAATCCGCCCTCGGCTTTCTTTTATAAGATTTTACAAACACAAACGCTGAGCCGAGGCTAATGTCACCCTCCATTGCCCCTCCTCCCCCCATCACTGTGGCCCATATTCACAGCCTCCGGCGCCTGACATCGGCCGTAGGGCAGCCTGCCTTTTCCCTTATACAGGACTACAAAATAAACTAAACAAAAACCCAACAGCAGCCTCCCTTTGCAGAAATGATATCCCCGTGTCTCATGACGGCCGTGTTAGGGACTATTTTCTTTCCACTGAACTAAACCCTTCGGCCGTATCACACCCGGGTCATGATCTCTGGGAGGAGACGCCGCTTTGGGCAACACAACATAACTGCCACAGTTCCGTTATATTGATAAAAGGGCAGACGACATCTTTAAAGAGCACTAAGGGTAAAAAAAAAACAGTATGTATTTCAGATTTTGGAATAAACTTTCCCTTTAATCCGGACATAAAACACCTGTCCGCCCGTCGCTCTTTTCCCTCTTGATTCATCCGTATTTTTTAGCCGCGCCGGTTGAGGAGCTCATCTATATTTCAGCAGCTCGATTCGTAATTCAAACAGGAGCTCGAAAGATCACCCGATCTTGTTATTTTTGCCACAATCAGACTATTGCCTGTTGTGTTTTTCCGCCCCGGCTGAGGGGGGAAGAAAGCGCTGACCCCGCTGTCGTTGCGGTAGAACCATCGGTTACGGCGCCCGCCATGGTGTTGCGTTGTGGGTCACAGGTGACTGTTTCCTTCCCACTTACAAGAGGAGAGAGTGCAGAGCCGCTGGCGGCCCCCTTATCAAATAGAGGGTCATATAGATGCCTTAAAAGTGTGTGTTGGTGTGCGTTGTAGTACACTGCAGATGTTGCGAGTGTGGATTTGGTGTTTCATTGGTTCGTTAGATGAATTTGAAAGAAATGCCAGTTTTCTCATTGTCTCACCAGGGGAGATCTCTTGTTTTCAGTGCAAATGAGTTCAGGACTCCAGCTGGACCAGAGCATGTGATCCTGATGCTGGAGGAGTGAGCATTTGCCTCATAGGGAGACATTGTCATCCTATTTTTAACTACGGTAGAACGTTTTAAACAGATCTGATTGATTCAGCCGCCTCTAGACGTTTGCTTTTGTATTCGTGGCTGAAAATGCGATAATTGCTCAGCGGCGAAACCTGAAGTCTGTGAGAAATGCTTCTTCTTTTTGATCAAGAGAACAAGAATTGTAACCAAATTGTGTTAGTGTGCCAGGAATTAGGTTGTATTACTGATAACAACTTGGACACACTGGTACTATTATGTACTAAAGTTATGAAACATTTTCAATAAGGCCAGAAAATTGCAGATCAGCAAAGAAAAGACAAAGTGCCTCATTTAGTTTCTTAGTCACACATTTCTTCACTTAAGATGAAGTGAAGCAGCTACTCAAAAACTAAAATATATTAAGATCTAAAATATTGTGTTATTTATTTCTGAAATAATCCAATGCACAAAAAAAACACTAATTTAAATTTGCCACTTCCTCTTGATTGATCCTCCAAATCAAAGAGAACGGCAAAGATATTTGTCTGCCCCCGCCGAGGAGATAATAGTTGTCAGCCGGAGATCTCAGGAGCCTCGGAAAACATTTCAGTTAAAGTCGTCCGACCAAGCTTCAGGTCAAAGAACGTGTGATTAGACTTGGGTGGTGAGCTGGACTTGATGTATCATTTTTAGCTGTGACTATAAAACCAAAAGAGATGGAGACTAGACTTCACATTCAAAGGTGTTGTTTGCAGGAAAGTTGTCTTTATAGGAATAAATCATAAGAAGTTCTGAAAAGTAAATTTGTTTTAGGAGTTTTCAAAAAAATCACCTTTTATAACAAACTAGTTTGAAATGTACTTTACTCGCCGTCTTGCGAAACCTCAACGGCGCTCCCACATCCAGAATCAGTTAGCTTAGCAGTTAGCTTAGTCTGCGTCACTACAGGAAAGACCATCATGCATCATTGTTATTGAGCCCCTGACGGCGTGTCGTAGCACCACAGCCCTCCCCCCGGTGATCCTAACTGACCATCTCTTTCCTCGCTCTCCCTCCTCCTCCCCCCCCCACTCCTCCCCTTACCCCTTCTCTCCAGTCCAGATGCAAGGTGTGCCGTCCCCCCCTCCTACCATCATCACCATCACCGCGCCCTGGCCCGCTCCTTCCAGGCTCCCTCCTACAACCGTCCCGCCTACGACCGGGCCTCCAGCGACCATCCCGCCTACGACCGCCCCCCCCTCAGCCGCCCCCCCCCTCAGCCGCCCCTCCTTCAGCCGTCCCTCCTTCAGCCGTCCCTCCTTCGACCGCCCCTCCTTTGACCGTCCTTCCTTCGACCGTCCCTCCTTCAAGCTTCCCTCACACGAGCGCCCCATCTACGAGCGCCCCGTCCACGAGCGCCCCCCCCAGGACCAGTGGAACCCCCATCTCAGTGTGAACGCCGGAAATCCGATCTACATGTTGGACCAGGAGGAGGTATTGCAGCCCACACACACCAGGTTTTGCAGTAGATTTTATCATGTGGGAAATAAATATGACTCATTTACACTGATAGAGGACATGCCGCTCTAATGTAACAAGGTGTGTTTCCTTTTTGGTGACATCAAACACATTTTATCACTATTAAGTTGTGCAGATGCAAAATATAAGAGTTCATATATATATTGTGATTATCCGTGATCATCCTTCCTCTTATTATACTGTAACCATGGGATCGCATTACATATATTACAGTAATGTGTTACAGCTAAATCCCTTTATGTATGAAATAAAGCAAAGGTTTATTAATATTACTATTATAATTATTATTATACAGGATGTGGTTTTTAGTAACTGATTTGATAAAAATCTTTAGTTGTAAATTGACTTCAACCTGCACCAATTCTCATTTATTTCTACATTCTATATTCACCATATAAAGTTACTTAAGTCCAAATATCACAAGCTCTGTTTTAGTCTCCATCAACTAATAATGATATAAATTGTTCCAAATACAAATACTCATATTTATCTCTTCCTGAGTCTTAGGAGCAATGAACAATTTGCTAAGATTTAAAACTGATCAATACACTGAATACTTGACATATCTTTTGGGTTCCAACATGAGGGAGAACGTTACAGAGTCAATCTCCAGCTTCTCTGGGTGTCTGTCGCCTCTGGTTCCTCTTTGGCAGTTTCAAGAGAAGATGCTAATCTTGGAAACCGTTGCCAATGGTCTGCATGGTGGCGCGTGAGTCAGCGTGGTTACATGGATTCCAATAACTGGCTTAGTCGAACTGAAATCGAATTATCCGTTTCATGTAAACACCTTTGTCCGACTATGTGCGGTCCGACTACGATCCGACTAACTCCATCCGATCCAGCTGGTACTTCGACTATTGCGGCATGTAGCGGTGAATCGGATGAGGAACTGGACTTTGCGTCTTTGCGCATGCTTGAGATCCCGACGTCTTCTCTCCGTTATCAAATCAGCCAATAGCGTCATTCGCATTCGCTGTGCTCCTATTAACATCATTCACAAATAGTAGAGGGATGTAGCTTCACCTTGCTCTCCACTCGCCATCTTTCTCCTAATGTTGATGTTGTTGGTTGTTGTTGGTAGTGGTGAAGCGGTCAAGCGGAAATGGCTGCATCACAACTAGTTGTAATGAAAACAGCGCCACCTATCGTATCGGACATGACATGCTTTCAGCCAATGATTCGATTTATTCACTGCCATGTATATTGGGATAATAGCACCTCCCCCCGATAGATAGCATAGTCCGACTAAGCAAAGATTCCAATTATACCATCATGTAAACACACTGAGTGAATCCCGACTGGGTGAACAGTGACCTCGCAGAGAGGAAGTGGAAGTCGTCCACAACGAGTCACTTCTGAAGGAAACGTTAAAAGGAAAATGTTTTCGCGTTCACTTCGACAGGCTTGATCTCCGCAGGCCGCGGCCCGCTAGTTTCTAATGTTTCCTCCGGTGGTTGAGGCGTAGGTTTCATTCGGCACCGTGGGATTCTTTTGACGCGATGTCAGACGGGTCGCCTCGGCTAAGTCGGGCTGAACAGATCCGATGTCCTTTGATGTGCACTTTGAGGAGGGTCAGCCGTCTGACGAATGTCTGGCACGTCAGAAATGTGAGCATCGAAAGAGAAAAAAGGAGGATTTTAACGTACAAAGGCAGCGTAGACTTATTAATGCAACGTACGCCAGCTATTGTTTAAAGGAGAATTGAACTGGTGATATTCTCGAGTTAAACACAGCAAATCCCATAAAACCATAATTGGCCTGATGTTACGGGCTTTCTGTGAGCAGTTGGCTTACATGTTGTCCAAAAACTATGAAAAATCCATCCGTTATTTCAAACCAGCACCGGGAGTGTAATTTACTTTGAATCAATTCCACGTTCCATCTTGTGCTATAAAGAGCCGTTGTGTATTAATCCGCTGTTGAAAATAGTCCCAACCACGTGTGCTGGTCACTCCTTCAGTGCCCAGCTGATATAGGAAATTACAAAGCCTTTTATTTTTCATTTTTTCATGAATCAATCGAATTGTGAGCTATTATGCCATTTATGTTAATCGAGCCAACTGCTTATTTGCTTGTTTATTCGATTAGATCATTAAAGCTCAAATGCAGCTGGAGACGTTTTATTGAAAGCAGTGTTGTTGTTCAGGCTTCATTTATCAGATCGATGGTTCAGCGGTAGCATTTTTGACCTCTTTTGACTCCGTCACAGTCAGGCGCCTTCACGGTGAATTCATGATATTCTGCTGTTAGAAACCAGCACAATATACGTGCTGAGGAAACGAGCAAAGGCTCCTTCTCCGTTATTTTTATTCTGCGTTTCCCCCAGTTGATTTTCCGACGACTTGAAACGTGCAGCGCGTCGGCGTTGATTAACGTGGACTATTTCTGCTTCCAAATTCCTGCGTGGACGCAGCGAACGCACAAACGTGCATCACTTGCTGGTGGAGCGTCATCTCGCTCTGCAGGCCAGGAGAGGGTACTGTTCCCCAACTGCTCCACCCTCCACCCTGCAACTAAATCAGCCATTCACCCAATTACACAGTTTAAGGCCGAGACTGATAGTTCATAACTCCACTGAAACACATGAACCAGAACCATTTCATGTATATTGCAGTTTGCCAAGTTGATTAGAAGTCATAAACTGTGGTCGGGGGAAGCTGCAATGTTCGGCCGTCTGGAAATATTGAATCTTGCTTTTTCTTGCTTTACAAGAGTCAATAAAGCAGTGCATCTTCACGTGGCCGGCCGGTGTGTGTGTTTTTGTGTGTGTGTGTGTTGTCAGCTCGTCATCACTGGCGCGCTGTGCTCCCGACGAGAGGCCGGTACCTTCTAGGGATTGCATGCAGAGCCCAGTTCAATTAACCAAAGCCCCGTCCCTGTCTAATTGTGCCAATAAGGCCGCAGCTGCGACTGGATCGGAGGCAGGGCTGACGCGCTGATAGGCGTCGCCTCGGCGTCGGTGTTAAATATTCATGCCTGTCACTCACCTCGTGCGGAGCGGTCGTCTCTCTCTCTCTTGCTTCGTCTTTCCTTTGCATGCACACATACACACAATATATATTCCCATTTTGTTTTAGACGGCTTCAGTGGCTCGGCAAAAAAGAAAAAAGGGGAATCAGCGGAGGGACGTTGTTCTTTTCTCCCCATCGGTGCTGCTGCTTCGTGCACATTTTGATATCAGCCTTTCACCTCTGTGATTTTCTGCTTGCTTATATTTTTGACATCCGAGGTCAACATCGCCGTTCTGATTCCCCGCTCTCTCTCTCTCTCTCTCTCTCTCTCTCTCTCTCTCTCTCCTCCTTTTTAATCTAGTCCATCTGTTCCATCTTCTCTCCCTCCTCGCCCTCCCTCCCTCCCTCCTCCTATCTCCACATTCATTGCTATCTCACCCTCCCCTCCCTCTCTCACTTTTACTTGGGGCCTCAGCCTCCCCTCCCTCTCTCTCCCCCTCCCTCTCCCTCTCTCTCTCTCCGGGGTGACTGGCAGGAGCCTTTGGCTCTCCCACAAGCCACCTGTCTCTGCGCTCCTCACAGCTCCATTCACGAGCTGTTTCTTTTAAAAGTCATTTATTGTTTTTGCTCCCTGAATGACGGCCATCGGGAAGACGCAGCACGGGCGTCTCTTCCAGAAGAGCCGAGCTGTCGAGCCCCTCCATGAGGCCGGGACGGCTTTACGCCCTCTGCGACGTGGCTCGTTTTAATTGTGCAGCATAATAGATGCTTTTGCCAGGACGTGTTCTCTGAGTGGCACGTTTTGACACCGTGCATCTGGAGGGGGAACACCCTTGAAAGTGGAGTTGTAAACCGGGCGTGTATAACCGCAGCGCCTCGTGCTGCCGGTTTCTCGCCCTGTCAGTCGTGTGACTTTCCCTTTTGAGACTCCCACAAGATTCCGAGAAAGAAAATAAAAAGGCAGCACGTGTCGCTGTGAAAACGAGCGTGCGGCCCTGCGGCAGCGGGGAACGTGGCTCAGCGTCACCCCGTCGCTGTGATCACATATTAGCATTCAAAGGAGTCGGGTTGTAAATGGATGCGGTTCAACAATCCAAAAATGAGCACTGAGTAGAGTGAGCATTTCTACCAGGCACCGGTAACCCGCATGGAAAACTTTAGACCTCGCAAATGTATTTATGCGGTGATCAGGAATAAGAGGAATCACGACGTGGCCGTGTTTTTCTTTCTTTGGCCTCTTTGGTCGCCCGTCAGTGCACATCTACGTTCAGCAATAAGCATTGTGGCTGAGACATTTACCTGTATACATGATCGCGTTTAATTGAGATATTATCCTGCGTATTAACTGATTAGGTATAAGCAGTTGTTAGTTCCAGTCGTAGTGGTGTGTGCCTGTGAGCAGCACTTCACTGATCCTACAATCTAAAAGTAGTTAGATTCATACTGCAGATTGACTGTGGACAATAAAAGGATCTGATTTTGACGTTCATCACGTCTAATGGCGTGTTAGTTTTAGGTATTTGGAAAGCAGACGTCACTGCTGGGTTGGAAATTTTAAATTAATGAATTAATAAATATATTTTCTGGACATCTCTGAGATCTTCACTCCCGATTTCCTCTCCCGCTGAGCGTCTGTGCAGGCCGCGCCGCCTCTTTCCGCCCTGTAGGGGGAGCGAGAAGGCTGAGTGTGACGTCCGCCTGCCGTCCTCTTCCTCCCCCTCCTCCTCCTCCACCACCTCCTCCTCCTCATCTCACATGAATCTGAGGCGACACAGTTTCTTTTACCACCCTAACCCTCGAGCCACGGGTCCGTGATGCTTTAACCGCCGTGCCGGCGTTACGCAAGGAGGAATTCTTTGCAAAGAGTTTAGAAAACACCAAACCGCAACAACGCACACAAGTGGATCCATTGCTGTGGCAGTTGCGATAGTCAGTCGTGTGGGAGTTGGAGGGATTCATTGCGTGATGAAAGGCAGGAAGTGACTCTCTTAAGGGAAGGGAAAG